AGAGAGAGAGAGAGAGAGAGAGAGAGAGAGAGAGAGAGAGAGAGAAATTAATAAGATAAAACAATTATGTTCACTTTCTCTTCATTCCTCCCTCTCACCACCATACCCTTTATTATCTTTACTATTATATCATTGTTGGTATCATCACCACTACTGCAACTATTATAATCAGTCATCATTACTATTGCTACCATCATCATCATCTCCAAGATTGTTACCACTACAATTGTTGCAATCATCATAATTACTATTGTTGACATCATTACTATTGTCTTTGTATGTTGTCGCTATAATTACTATAACGATCATATATGTTGCCATCAACACCTAACATTATCTAGCCCACCTAACTTATTTTTCCCTTATTTTGTTATATTTTTATCTTAATATTTGTCATAATCTATTATATTTTGACCACTAAAACCCTCGTAGAAATTAAGAAATTAATGATATTAATGTAAAATTGACCCTAATGAACATCATTATCTTGGAGTAATTCTTTACTTAATGTGTGGAGAAAAAAAAAATCTTAAACATCGATTAATTTAAAATGAAAAGAGTATTTGTGTATTAAATGAAATCCAATTTATACAATTCTAAACACAAAAATACACATTCCAAATTATATTCTTTTAATGTTAAAAAAATGTCAAAACAACAAAGTTCTTAAATAAGAAACAAATAGTTTTATTCATACACTCCACAAGGGTCAAGGTATTGCATAAAGACTTTATTATATTTATTACCTTCTCAAAACTTTAATAATATTCGTCATTACTATGACAGTGTGTTTGATACAGAATTTCAGGAAATAATTTTTTATGAATTTAAAATGCCTTATGGAAAAATATTTTATTTGAATAAAGAATTTAGAAATAAATTAAAACTCAATTAATTTATAAAAAAATATTTTAATTACTCAAAATTGTGGAATTTTATTTTTTTCTAAAAAATAAAAAAATTGAAACTCTTTATACTTACTTTTTTTTTCTATTGTTTCACCTCAACTATATATATATATATATATATAGA